GAATTCTGAGATTGAAGTCTGAATTCTGAGATTGAAGTCTGAATTCTGAGAAAAAAGTCAGAAATCTAAAATTGAAGTCAGAATTCTGAGAAAAAAGTCAGAATTCTGAGATTGAAGTCAGAATTTTGAGAAAAATGGCAGAATTCTGAGATGTAAGTCGGAATTATGAGAAAAAAAGTCATAATTCTGCGAAAAAAAAAGTGTGGAATTCTGAGAAAAAAGTGGGAATTCTGACTTTTTTCTCAAATACTGAAATAAAATTTAAAAATCAGTTAACTTGTTTAACTTTTTCAGTGGCCCTAATCCTCTTCCGTAGTTTTCTTCTTTTGTTTCTCTACAATCATAATAAGATCAGAGTTTTAAAGGGGAGATAAAACATATAAATTGAGCTGCAGTGGGCGATCACTGTCAGAAGGTTTCTAAATCAAATTCTTTCCACAGGCCCCTCTAGGAAGTCACACAAAGTATTGCGAGAGGTTTCATCATCTTGTACTCATGGTTGATAATGCAATGTGTTTTTGCAGATGCATGAGACTGAGCAGTGGCTGAAACTTCATCCTTACCTGATAGTCAAGTAGCCTGACAATATTCTCATGTCTGAGTTCCTAGAAGAAGTTTAAAATACACTGTTGTTGATAAACATTCAGCAGAGGACACTCAGAGATGAATGCATAACATCAGGAAAATACATTACCTTTAGTATTTTGATTTCTTTCCCCAGCAAAGCCTGGGATTTGGAAAGGTTTTTCTTGTTGATGCACTTTACAGCAACTTCTAAGTCATGTTTCTAGAAAAAAAAAACAAAATAAGGCAAAAACTGTACATAGAATGATAGAGATAATAGCTTATCTGAATTTGCCAGATGGGAAAGTTACCTCTTTATGTCTGCCTTTGAACACAACAGCAAAGGCACCGTGACCAATCAAGTCTTTCCTGTTGAACTCAAACTTCCCAACAGACTCCATGGAGATCAGCAGACAAGTAGACAGTTATGTTTATCAGAGAAGCTTGGAGAGGATGACTTTGCAGCTCAAGCAGACAGTCGCCACAACACGGACTCATGTCATGGGTGAAAAATGCCTCCTCAACATTGCTTAAGCTTCATAGCGGTGCTCGTCAATAACATGAAGTCTAACCATAAACAACAGCAGGATAAAATGCAGGAAGTCTCCTCCGCTTCTCTCGGTAGGAAGTCGCTTTAATGCCGCCTGTCTGTATGTTCATTTGTATTTAAACACTGAGCTCAAACATTGTTGTGCCTCTCACCTCTCCAACCATCTGGCTCTACGATGCGCATGCGCAAACACACGAAGAGGGTTTGATTGTGGTGCTTTCATGACCAGCTCGTAAAATTCTACATTTCAAGTTAAATTTAGCTCTCCTTTATTGAGGAAAAAAAAAATTGTCAAACTTTTTTTTTTTTTAAAAAACCACAAGCGTATACAGGACATTAAAATGGCTCTTGGTGCTGAAATTTAATTTGAATGTTTATAATTTGATTAGTTTGTAAACACACATTTAATGTGTCCTGAAACCATAATAACATCTCCTTTTTAATTTTGACTCAGTTTAAGAAGCCGGAAATCTTATTCATTCGGAAATCTTATTTTTTTTATGATAAAAATCACAAAATTCTAGATAACTGTAAACTGTACGGAATAGGATTAGGGCCACTGAAAAAAAAATTTTTTACTGATTTTTAAATATTATTTCAGTTCAACATGGGAAGAAAGTCAGAATTCCGACTTCAATCTCAGAATTCTGACTTTTTTCTCAGAAGTCTGACTTTTTCTCAGAATTTGCCTTTTTTTTTAAGAATTCTGACTTTTTTCTCAGAATTTTGGATCTTAATGTCGATAGTCACCATAAGGGAAGAGATGTGGGAGCACTCAGCTTCACTGACAACGATGTGAGTTACCTGCTGTAGAGGTCCCCAGTGATGCTATTTAATTTATGGAAGAGCAGAAGGTGACTAAGATAAGAGAGTTAGTTTAGTCTCTAAAACAGACATGCCCACGGCTTGATACACACATGTTTGTTAGTTGTCAGAATTTAGTCAGAATTCTGAGATTAAAGTGAGAATTCTGAGAAAAAAGTCAGAATTCTAAGGGAAAAAGTCAGGAGTCTGAGATTACAGTCAGACTTCTGAGAAAAAAGTCAGAATTCTGAGATTAAAGTCAAAATTCTGGGATTAGTCAGAATTCTGAGAAAAAAGTGAGAATTCTGAGAAAAATGTCAGAATTCTGAGATTAAAGTCAGAATTCTGAGA